TCAACCCCATCTGGTCCCTCTTGCTAGAATCTCATCTTCTTTTTAGAAATGACACACCAAAATGCTCAAGATGGCTCTCTAAGCTCTCAAGGATGATTTAGGGTTTCTCCAGGGTAAGGATAGCCGCAATTGAAGACCCTAAGGCTCTTTAAATAGGTCCCAAACCCGGAAAATTAGGGTTTTCCTCCACAGCGCCGATTCGGCGAGTCCAATGCTCGACTCGTCGAGTCCATTCATCTAAACACGTCACCTGATCGCACCCCTACTCGACGAGTTAATCCACCAACTCGTCGAGTCCCTTCGATTAAATCAAAATATATAAATAATATAACATGCCCAATAATCTGGATGTTACATAACACAACATGTAAGTAATTTTTTTAAGCTCGTATGGATTAGGAAAGTAGGAAGAGTACAAAATGATAACTCTTATTACAAAAGAGTTATGAGCGTGTGTGAACGTTGTCGCACCCCCAAACCGGAACGACAAAAATGTTCGGAGGCGGAGGACGTCATGCTCAATATCACAACAAACGTAGAATAGTAAAACAAGCATCCACAACCATTGTATAAATATTAAAGTGTTTACATGTATTTGATCCACAAAATATTTACTCCAAAAGTAAATAACAAAAAAAAAGACATGAAGCTATATGATCCATCTTCTGAATCCCTGAGTGTGTACTTGTCTACTAGTTTCCTGATAATACAAGTTATTTTGAAAATGTAGATCAGCATTTAAGCTGATGAGTTCATAAGTATTTAGTTATAAAATGTGTACTATAAGTTCTTTAGAAAATTTCGCCTGTTCCTCCAGAAAATCCTATATTTTCTGATACGATGAATGATAAGTAAAAATGACTCTTCAATTCCTTCTATGAGTACTTAATGATTATGAGTTCTATAAAATCCAGATCATACCGATAATCGATTGTGTGAATCTTCCCTAAGCCCACAACCAAATAAGAAACACAAAATGAGGTGGAAGTCACACATCCCATTGTTCGTTAGATCCTCATTGTATATAACCATGGCGTATTCACTAGGTGCTTACAGAGTATTCACTAGGTGCTTACAGAGTTAATTGTAATAGTTCTTTATAATTGATGAAAACATTCCTTAAGAAAATCATAAATTTCCTTTAGTAAAAATGGTAACCATAATAGTTCCTTCTATAATCACTTAGTTTATACAAGCTATATATAATCTAATATCGAACGGGCAGTTAAATGTGTGAATCTGCCTTAAGCCAACAACAAAACAAGGAACAGGAAGTACGGAGGAAGCCACACATTCCACTGCCTATCGGATATTAATTATATATAACTTTGATGTATAACTAAGGAATTATAAGATTAACCATTCAAGGTCCTTTATGTTATACTTATTTAATAATACGAATTAAACCTTTTACAGATAAGCTTCTAGTTTCACCCACTTAATGTTCTATCCAAAAAGTATGTTTTTGTACTAGAAAGTAGTATGTTGTGCTTGTATGTTATGACCTGACCCATACTTGTTACTCCCTATGATTACTTGGTGTATACGAGTTATATATATAACTAAGATCGAATAGATAGTAGACTGTGGGAATTTGCTCTAAGCCCACAACCAAACAAGTAATAGGAAATGAAGCAGAAAGCACACATCCTACTACATGTCAGATCCGATTAATATAAAACCCTAATGTATCTATTAAGGAATCATAAAAGTTAGCATTATAGGCCCCTTTCAAACTGTATGTTCATGTTAACTAGAAAATAGTTTGCATTTATCACTACATGAATGTAATGAAAAAATGAAAGTTTACAATAGTGTTGTATAAAATAACTACTGAAGCACTAACTACCTTAAAACCAAGTTATTAATTAAGGTTAAAATGTGATGTGGTTGTAACAATGCTTGATTGACTAGTATGAAACACGACGTTCAACATACGTCGAAAATAGTATGACATTTGTCACTCGTAGACCTACGGTCCCATTGTAGCTAGCAGCAAGGTATAGGATGGTCAATCCCATATAGATCTATACACAAACTCACGCTCTCCGTCCAGGAGACTCTGGTTACAAAACACGACATAACAAGTATATTGTTATGCCGTGAAGTAGTGGTTTCACATTATTGTTATCTTGTTCTTGTTATAGTATGTTTGGACTGACTCATGCATGAACTGACTACCGTAAGAACTAACTTTATGTAAGTTTCACTGTTCTAGAAGTAGTAAGTAGTAATCCTCTAAACTATACCTATTATAGTTTACTAGTATGTTTAATTGGACCATTACTGATTTGAAGAAAAGGCTCAATCATCTACTGAGTTAAGCATGTACTTTAAAAACGGAGTTTTATAAACAACAATCTAACATCTTTTTAAAAGAGTTTTTGAATTGATTTGATCCCATACAAAAGCATAAGAAATCCTTTAATGTGGGTGTTATCACAGTTAAATATTAACACAATACTATTGTGTCAACTTGCATCCCCCCCCCCCTTAAAAGCATTTAAAACATTTAAAAAATTGATTATAGGGGTATGAAGTCACCTTATGTGGGTGATTCAATTGAAGATTCGAGTAAGGATGATAAGTTCCACGAATGAAGTCTCGAGGCACAAACGAGTCCTAAATGACATATAATAATACAAATTTGGCATGTAATTAGTGAATCTAACTATAAAGGTGATTGGGAAACAACCTAGAATGCAAGAATAACTCACCAAAAGAGTGTGAGAAGTAAGTTAGGAGGCTGATAGGGTGTTCACGACCCAAATTGAAGAATGGGTCATGGCCCAATGGGGTGTTCACGGCCCAAATGATGAAGGGTTCTCGGCCCACTTGAAGTTCATGGCCTAAAATGGTGAAGAACACTTGAAGATCTTGGTGTTTTGGTGAGTGTTTCAAGATCCTAGTAAGATTCTATGGAGTAGTAAAGGAAAGGGAGTTTAAGAGTGAAAGATGGTGTTTTTGAACTATGATACTTGAGAGCAAATGGAGTGATTGCGGCCTAGAGAAGAAAAAGTGAAGGAGAAGTGGCTAAAACTCATCCATATAGCATGAGTTCACGGCTTAACAAGGGTTCATGGTCGTGAACATGGTCCTTGTCCGTGAACCTCACTTGTTGGGGTTTTATGGCTCAAATGTTGTTCTAGGCTCGTGGTTCACTTCGTGACACACAATTCTTGAGTGTACTAGGCTTAGAACTCATAAAATGACCCTTAACAAGGCTAAAAGGTAACAGAAACAAGTCTGGCTTTCGATTGATTGAATTGACTTACAAGATAGAAATTTCAGGTTGTCACATCATCCCCCGTTAGATGGAATTTCCTCCCGAAATTAGCTTTCTTAGCAGTACTCCTGGGGTCGTGCTTCTCTGAATGGCAGAATACCCACTCGTAGACCTGGGCAACTCTGCCCTGAAGTTCGTGATAGGATTCATACCTGGTCCATCTATCATCACCTCGTGTATACAAGTAGTATATAATTAAGATTGGTAAGACGGTCGGATGTACGACTCTGCCTCAGGTCCACAACCAAACATGGAACATGAGATAGGGTGGAAACACACATACTAAATTTGCATAATCATAATTATATACCACCCTCGCGTATACACTTAATAGTGATAGGTGGGTTGTATTCGTCCTTAGCCCCTGTGCTTGAACTTATCTGTTGGACGAGTGGTAGTTCTGGAAGGTTTGTTTAGTATACATCGGAAGGGTTTCGGAGGGCAAGGTACTCTTCGCATGAGTACTTCGGGGTCGAGAATATGAGAGAGACGATTTTGAGGTCTAAGTCGGGTTGTCGTTACGAGTGACGAGGGTTTCATTAGTCGTTCGGTTACGGCGAAAAGTTTTCAGAGCATATGAAATTGGTATGGTGAGGACCACGCCAATCCATGACGAATGACAACGTCGGAACTCCTTATAAAGACAAATGTTAGGATGATTTGAAAGAAACGTTTGTTATACGATGGTGCATCCCTAGTGTACTCGACAAATATACTTTGTGTAGGTTTTCTAGTGCTTCCAGGTTTCTCCTTGATATTACCACTACCACAAAGTGTACCGTGATAAGCGACTACTAATAGTGAAAGTGTCTTGATAACTAGTGTCGATACTTTATATTATGATCCTCATCGGTACCTTTATGATCGCTTGGTATATACAAGTTATGTATAATTAGCTAAAAATACATCATTGATTTTAAAAAAATGCCTTAGCTAAAAGTTTGGAGCTCCGACTCATTGATTTTAAAAAAAAATGACTTAGCTAAAATACATCATTGATTTAAAAAAAATACAAATTTATAAAAAAGTTTTTTGTATCATTGATTTTAAAAAAATACAAAATTATAAAAAAGTTTTTTGTTAAACGAATTGAAATAGGTTTGGGATTTGAAACTTTTTGTTGTGGCTAAAAGTTTTGAGCTCCGACTCCGAATAAACCTGTTATAAGTCTTACCAGCAAAATATTGTTATATTAAACTGATGAATTATTTAATTGTTTGTTGAATGTTATACAACATGTCAACAATTTCGGTATGAAAAGGTGAAAAGCATGTGAAAACAAAAAATTATAATTTTTTAATTACAATAGTTAGGATTTAGGAATGTCTTTTACACCAAAAATATCCAAAAGGAGTCGCTATCCTCATCGTTCCATCTTTTTGGTAGAACATAAAAATGAGAAATTGGGTAGAACATAAGAAGCACAAATTTTATCCTATTCATATTAATCTCAATCTAATCAAATTCATGTCAAACGTTTGAAACTTGTCAGACCATGTAATGTCAATCCAGCAAAAAAAAGATTGCCATAGCATACCACTAAAATATGCATTCTATTTACACAGTTTTTTTTTTTTTTTTTTCTTTCATATTTTCAGTACGAAAGGGTAAAAAACACATGAAAAACAACCCAAATGAACGGAATTTACAACACAAACCGGCTCAAAAGCCACGTTTTCTAGCAGTCAAAGTCAATTCATCATCCTTCACATAGTCAAAATGCTGCACACAGACTCTTTATGTTAATGTTAGCCGAATGTTCTTGTTGCACAGGATCATTAGGACCACATATCCTGCTTCTCTTGGGCTCTGATATCCTTACACGTGAAACTGCCAATGCAAGCATGTCAACCATACAACCATCTTCATCTTCTTCTATGTCATTTGGGAACATTGAAGTAGAGTTGTCATCTAATGAGGTGTTAATGGTCTTCTCATACTCCATTTCCAGCACATCAGTCAGCAATTGTGTAGTCAAGTTTCCACAAGTTTGCACTCGTGAACCGAAAGTTAGAGGTCCTAATGTCGGGTTCGTGTAAAAAAGTATCCATGGATGTCCTATTAAACAAAAAAGAAAATTCGTTAGATGAAAGAACAAGGATTCATAAAATAAAATCACTAGGCTCACATCATACGACAGAATAAGTTGTACTGTGTTTGACATGCATTGTACTAGAACTAGAATCAATGTTAATGGGACAAAATTTTAAATTTTTTTGTCCCACCCAAAAAGATGGAAAAAGGGATTCGCTCTGACATTGTCACTGTCAGTCAAATGCATGTCAAACACAGTATAACCTGTAACGTCTTGTATGAATGGACAGGAGAGTATCCACAGCTTACGTAGTACTTCCTCAGCAGTGTACCTCTCGGATACATTTCTTGTTAGCATATGTCCAATCAGATCACAGGCAGGTTGAGATACCGTTTCCCATAATTCGCCTTGGAAATCAAGCGTCACGTTCTTGACCGCCTCAAACACCGTATTTACCGAATCGCCACCGAACGGAAGGTAACCGACCAAAACCGCATGTAGGACCACACCCGCGCTCCATATATCCACTTTCTCAGAGTAACCACCCGTCAAAACTTCAGGTGCCACATAAGCAGGACTCCCAACCACACCATATAGACTCTGACCTATAAAAACAAATACTCCTACATGTGAGTAGACTGTAGACAGTAGACAATAGACAGCAGATAGTAGCGTGTAGCCGGTACAAAACAAGTTTTTGAATTATTACCATTAGCAATTCTAGCAGCCAACCCGAAATCAGCAAGCTTAATCGAACCATTAGCCGAAAGAAGGATATTTTCGGGTTTTACATCACGATGAATAACGCCCATGTCATGACAGTATTTAAGAACTAACATCAATTCCTTGATTAAATTAGCGGCTTTTTGCTCTGAAAACAAACCTTCTTCCCACATCTGATCAAGCAACCTCCCACCAGAGCAAAGCTCCATAACAAGATGAAAAGATTGAGCATCTTCATACACTGCCTTCAATGTCACAACACCCGGATGACCAGAAAGATGTTGCATAATTTCAACTTCTTTATGAACAATCTCATCCCCTTTTGGTAAAATCTTGCATGCAAATTGTTCTCCGGTGACCTTATTCCGGCACTTGACCACTGATCCAAACTTCCCGTTTCCGATCGTTTGGCCACGTTCGAAATCTTGATCGATTTTCTTCTTTCGACCGGTTTGTGTCAAGGCATCGAGACACCCGATTTTACGTTTTAGACCCCTGCCACGTGGGTCGGAATACACATTGACGAAAGGCGGCGCGGTTGCGATTCCGATTCCGGTTATGAAACGTTTATGATTGGTTGATTGTTTGAAATCAGTTGATTTGTGTCGAGAGATTCCCTTTCTCTTTCTTCCCATATGGTGCATAAGTCAATAAAATCATGAACGATATATTTTTTTCATACAAAATCCCTAAAAATTGGACTTAACTAGTTAGCTATTTTCTAATCAATCGATAAGATTAAACAACAGGAAGTAGACAATTTCATGTTCCAATATGATATTCCGAATTCTTAGCAGATACCCACACTGAAAAGCTAAAAAACAATCAACGCAAATGAAGTCCATAGATATGGCTACAATCTGCAACATCAAGAAACATAAAAAGAGGGAAATTTGAGAGACTAAGAACAAAAAAGAGTTAGTCGCGGGTGATTTAAATCGTTTGTAGCAGGTGGGTATCAATGGAAAACAGTTCCGATCTATCGATTATTACATCATGTAATTCACATAAAATTTAGAAATAATGGAGTCTAACGTATGTGAGTAGGGAAAATAACCTGTTAAAATGAGAAGTCTCTTGCTCTTCTTCTTCCAACCCATTTCAACAAACGATCCACACATCGGATTGGTTTCATCCAGAGTCTTAATCTGCATAAATGAAAAGGAAAAGAGGGATAGGAAGGAGCAGGATTAGCAGAGATTCTCAAAAACCAGATCGAAATCGAGGAAGAAACTGCTGAAGAAAAAGAGATGGGGCTATCCGATTAGATTGAACAATCGAGAACAGTGGTTTATTACCTTCATTGGAGGAGGAAAATCTGAAGGGGAATACTGGGGTGATGCACGTGATTTTGAGTCTTTACAACACAAAACAGTGGTAGTGGTCGCACTGCCTGCCACTGCTTGCCATATTTATGTCTCAGTCTTCACGCTATCTGCCGTGCATTCAACTCGCCCTCTTTTCCATACGCAAGTGAAGACAGTATTATGTTTGGGAACGTGCTTACTGATTTGGTTCGCGTAAATGGAATTAAGGTGTTATTGTGTTGGGAAATAAATTAAACAGTAATCTACAGACTACAGTCTATGAATTGGAGTAGTAAATTGGAGTCTCTATCAAATGGGGTAGTGTCTATTTATTTCTAATTTTTTTTTTTTTTTTTTAAACTTTCGTAATGGTTTAGTTCCTACCAAATCTAAAATAACTCTGTAATAGGATGAACAACAGCCAAATCAATTGAACTGAAAAGACCATGTTAGTAATCATGACATCTCAAAAATATGGTCAAAAAGTTTGGTTTTAAAACTCGTTTAAGAAAACAATAATTCCTCATACATCATACTAAAGATCATAAATTATGTATCTCAATTCATCATAATAAAATAATGTATCAAAATATCAGAGTCTAAACATTCCAGGTTGAAGGAATAGTGTGTGCACTGCAATCGTCTCGAACTCTTTCCATTGCTACCGGAAATGCCTGAAACCAAAACTGAAATTGTAAACACAAAGCCTAGTGAGTCTCCCTAAACTACCTCATATCATACACATAACATATAACTTGCAGCTAGGAGGTACGAACTTCGCCCACACTCAAGGAAATACAGGCCCCTGCCCACACTCGGCTAATTATGAGATACGGGCATCGCCCACACTCTGCTAACTAGGAGATATGGATCTCGCCCACACTCAGCTGGCTAGGAGGTACGAGCCTCGCCCACGCTCCGTTATCTGGGAGATACGGGCCCCTGCCCACACTCTGCTAACTAAACATGCATAAAAGTATCATACAGACAACAAATATAACCATAATCTACCTGTTCATAAACATACTCAGATAATACTAAGATACAGACCCTACCCACACTTAGCTACTAATCATAAACAAGTCTAAGATACAAGCCCATTCCACACTTAGCTACTAAACATAAATCATTCTAAGATACCGACCCAGCCCACACTTAGCTACTCTACACGGGCCAGCATTGGTGCCTTCGACCCGTTCTTATAGAATGAAACTCACATCTCAAGCTGGTTGCTGAAATCTCGTGTGAGGAATCTCTGATGGTTGCTCCAACAACTCCCCGACTATCATTATCACAATAATCACTTAGTCAAAAACTAAAATCCTTCTAAGGGTAAAATGACCATTTTACCCCTAGTCAAAGTCAACATTTTGGTCAAAGGCAGCATTCTGGGTTGACTCAAGTCATCAAGCTGACATATCAACTCGCCGAGTCCTATAACTCAGAAATCCTGAAATCACGATCCAACTCGTCGAGTCATCCTCTGACTCGTCGAGTTCCCTAGCTACTCATAGTCGCGATTTGGCGATTCATTTCGTCGAGTCTCTTCATAGACTCGCCGATTCCTACCTTGTGCAAAAATCGGGATAACACTACTCAACTCGTCAAGTTCCTCTATGCACTCGACGAGTTCTTCAGTCTGTTTAGGCCTTCTTAAAGAATTAAGCCCTTACTCTTCAGTTCTAAGCTTCTTATTCCTCATGCACCCTGTAAATGTCCTTCTAAGGGTAAAGTTTCCAACTTTACCTGTTAATAGCCATTCTTTATGAGTTTAGCTCAAACTCTAGCTCTTTAGGACATAGATCTTGGTCTAAAAGCTATAATACTCTAAACTAAAGCATACTAACATAGATCTAGGCCTTAGACATCATTTGAACATGTAAAGCTCCTAACTTTCCTCCCATGCATGGCCTTTTGGGGCTTAAAAGGCCAAAAGAACACCTTAAAGCTTGCATGGGGCTTCCATGGTTATAAAGTTTGCACCTTTATGCCATGAAATCCCTTCTAGACCCCAAATCTGAAAGGTAGATCACTTAGGACGTCCTTATCCCAAGGGCTAAGCTTCTTGGACCAAAAACTCCATGAAATTATAAGGAGATCTAACAAGCTACTAAGCAAGGTTGAGACTTACTTACCAGAAAATGAAGAGGATGAGATGTTGCTTCGGGATCTACAATCTTCTCCTAGAATCCTCTAGCTTCTTCTTCTTTTACAATCTTCAAATCACACAAAGATCACTCAAAAATCGCTTACAAGCTCACACAAGGCTCTAGGGTTTTGTGGATTAGGGTTTAGGACTTGGAGGCTGGAAATAAGGCCATAAAGTAGGGATTAAGATGCTTAAATAGGGTGCAAAACCCTAAAATTAGGGTTTCACTCTGGCAGACCTACTCGCTGAGTTGATGGCTCTTAACTGTCGAGTAGATTGCTTAAAACCTGTGTCCCTTTCTTGTCTTTACTTGACAAGTTTGGGGCTACCAACTCAAAGAGTTTGGGGCTATAAAAATAAGTAAATTATAATTAAATGTGTAGCAGGAATCAGGCGTTATAATTCTCCCCCACTTGTCTTAGACTTCGTCCTCGAAGTCGGACACGTCTAGAAACAGTTCTTAGTAGTACTCCCTCATCTCCTCCTCGGGCTCCCAAGTCCCCTCTGAACCCTTACTGTGCTGCCACTGCACCTTCACCAGCTTAACCCGCTTGTTCCTCAGCTCCTTCGTATTCTTGTCAAGAATAGCTACTGGTCTCTTTATGTAATTAAGGTTGTCATCAACCTGAATATCCTCTAGGGGGACAACCGCTGAGTCATACACTAAGCACTTCCGTAACTGAGAAACATGAAAAGTGTTGTGAATCTGGTTGAGCTCTACTGGAAGATCCAAATGGTAAGCAACTCGGCCCACCAAGGCTAAAACCCTTAATGGAACGATGTATCTGGGACCCAACTTGCCTTACTTCCTGAACCAGATAACACCTTTCCAAGGTGACACCTTTAGGAGTATCATGTCACCCACTTGAAACTCCAAGTCAGAAACACCGCTTTGTCGGCATAGCTCTTCTGCCGACTCTGAGCAGTTTGGAGCCTGCTCCGGACTTGTTGGATCCTCTCTGTAGTCTTGAGTACTACCTCAGTACTCCCCATGACTCTTTGACCGATCTCGCCCCAACAGATTAGGGTCATACACTTCCTCCCATAGAGCATCTCGAAGGAAGGTCGGTCTATGCTGGCGTGGTAAGTGTTGTTATACGAAAATTTGGTTACACACTGTAAGATATTTTTATGTGTAAAAATAATATTTTTTTTATTCTTCAAGAATTTTTAGTTGGTCTATAGTTTTGGTGAATCTGTGTAAAAAGAATATTGCATACACTTCAAAAAAATTGTTATAAAGTAGTAATTGATCGTTCTTAAAGAATGAATTTTTTTTTACATATCTCACTAGTTTTATGACAGTAGTTCAAAAATATTTATTAATCAATGCATTCTTAAAGAATGAAATGTGATTCTTAAAAAACGAAATAAGTTTCAAGTAAATTCACGAGTTTTAAAGAATCAAATCACCCAATTCTTTAATTTTGTATTTTTCTGAACATTCTATAAAACGTTGTGTTAATATTTTGTAAAACTAACAGTGAAATTGCCTAAATTTATAGAAAGAAATCTACTATAATAAATGAATGTTTTTTTGCCACATGTCATCTTCTTCTTTATTTGGATACATGATATTTTCTAGAATTTTTAAATTTTTTATTTTCCACTTGTCATTTTATTGTATTTTTCATTTTATTAAATTAAAATTTCACATTTAATATGTAAGGTAATATATTTGTAAGGTATTTATTAGAAAGGGTTTATAAATGTAATGTATTGAAAACATTAAAGTCTCATTAATTTTAATAATTTAAAATTTTTCTTATTTTTCTTATAAATTCAAACTTTTCAAATTGTAAAAAATTCATATATATATATATTTTTAAATAAACTCATGTAATACATGGGTCTCACACCTAGTATGTTATGAAACTAAGTAATCCTTAAAGAATGAAATCAATTTCGTTTTATGTGATTATCATATAAAAAAAAATATTGCAAAATTTTCAATACATGATTTTCTGTAATTTGGTTTTAAAAATAATAATATGGATTTTATTAATATATTTGATTTGGTTTCCTAAAATATGGTTAATTCTTTTTTATCTCATTTAATAAAATGTCATAAAAACTCTTTAATAACCTTAAAATTAATTGATTGTAATTATATAGTAATTGCTATCCTACATTAATACAATGCACCCTAAAATCATAGTCATTAATTTTTTTTAATCTAATGATCATATTTTGGTCACACATTCACACAATATTTAAAGTTCACATTTAATCATAACCCTATATATATATATATATATATATATATATATATATATATATATATATATATATATATATATATATATATATATATATATATAAGTACGGATATATATTATACAAATTTTGACGAAATCTACAAAAAAGTCCAATTATTTTGGAAAAATTAACAATATGGTCATGTGACGTGCTAAACAGGTCAAATGGCTAAAATAAATAATTTAACTAGTTTCTTGGGTTTTTCTATTCAAAAAGTTAAAAAATAAGGGTTTTTACGTGTTAAAAAAATAAAATTTAGGACTTTATTAAAAAAAATTTCAAAATATTAAGACTTTTCAGGAGATTTCCTTTTTGCATATGATAATTTATGGTTGATATTTTGTAATGCTAACTTTATTTTTTTCTCCCACAATGTTTATTTATTATTTTATGATGATGATGATTTGAAATATTTTGGGTGTTTACATTGTTCTAGGAAAATATCAATTTCTTGTACTTCACATATATTGAACTTCAATGTACTAGGCTTCCTAAGCCTAATATACATATTTTGATATGTATTAAGTTAAAAGACTTAGACTAAGGTTGATGATGGATTAATATTGAGCAGTTACATGATGCCTCTCGATGTTAAGATGAATATAATGTTTACTTCAAACCTTTTTTCTCTTCTATGTCATGTTACACCCTCATACGATTTAACATTTAAATGTTTTCCAATGTTAATATTTTACCATTTTATGACCTTTACCTACAAATGACATTTTAAACTCTTATAAATCGTTTTGAAATTAGTTAATTCAATTGGCATGAGGTGTTTGCATATTCCTATCTTGATATTTACACCTACAGTAAACTTAACATAATAATAAATAATAATACAAAATTTAGATTAAATGACATAAAAGGTCCTTCCGGTCCAAGTTTTTTTTAACAATTTTGTACATAACTTCGGAGTTTCTCACTATTTTAGTTCTGATGACATTTCTATCAATTTCTGATTTTTTTTATACGTAATCATTATTATTATTTTTTTTTTCTAAAATATCATAATTTTAAACTGAAATGGACAAGTTTGTTTTCATTTTCTCAACAACTTTTTCAACATCATTTATCCAAATAAAACCTTTATCCAAACAGTGCCTAAATTGAACAAACAAAACCATTATAACATGACACCGAGACTAGCTTAAGTCTACCAAAGTTGTTGTCATGAAATCCACCTATAATAGTTGACTATTTTACCCTTACAATCCATAAAACAAATTTCACAATATTCACCGATTTTAACAACACTTATCAATTTTAACATGAGGGGGGTTGGGAGAAAAAAAAAAAAGATGATAAATAGGTAAATGGGTAGTGTCTTAACACATTAAGCTAGATTTTTGGCTTAACTCATTAAGTCATTATGTCCAAATTAAGTAAAAAGAAACAACTCATATTAAACATTTAAATGTTTAACTCATTAACTCAAAAGGAAACAAAATCCCTAACTTAAATAAAGGATTTAAGGAGTTCAGAAAGCATTCACCTGAAATTAACTCAAATTCATTCAGATAGCAATTTATGAAAAGTTTCTGCCTTTTCAATCAACCCAACTTCCTTAAACCCTTTAAAAACCCTCTCACATACAGAAACATCAAAATCTGTTGTAGCAGATGTCTTCCATTGATGAATAACTTCTCCCACCTCCTTCAAACACCCTAACATCAAATATGCAGAAAGCATACAACCATAGTTTCTACCAATCATTTTCTGATTTGTCATTCTCAAAGACCTCCATATTTGATCAAGTGTATCCTTATTCCCCAAAGCACAATGCAACACAATAAGAAAATCATAAGTTATCCATTCCCTTTGTGTAATAATCTTATTCCCCTTCTCACTTTCCACCACAGAGTTAGAATCCGAATTCACAAGATGCCCAGATGAAAGATAAATCTTCACAAGATTCACATATCTTACCCAAATCTCACTCTTTCCATCCTCATGGGAACTACTCATTTCATCAAGAATGTTTCTAACTTCATCAATCTTTAAACAAGAAGCACATGAACTTATCCAGAGATTGTAAGTGTATATATCGGGTGACACGTTCTGGGTTTTGAGTTCTTTGATGATGGAAAAGACCTTTTCGACCTCCCCAACTGACATGTATAGTGTCATTAGTTCGTTGTATGTTATGGGAGTTAGTTTTAGTCCGGATTCTTTCATCTTTTCATAGAGTTCTTCTGCTTTTGTGGTTTGTTTTGATGCAGCATATGAATGGAGAAGAGCAGTGTAGGATTCTGTTGTTTTGGCATTTGGAGGTAAACCTTCAAAATAGCGTTCAGCAGCATCTATGCTAAACACTTTGGTCAATAAGTCGATGCGGATTGCATAGTCTGAATCAGATAATTCATACTCGCTATGGGAAACCATCCATTCTGACAACTGCAATGCACATATTCTTGATCATTATGTTATAACATCTTGTTGATCAACAGGAACATAAGTATCATTAATCCAATTGGATGGTTACATAACTAGTAGCATTTCATATCCAGATTTGATAATGGAGAATATAGCTTGTTCAAGAGAATAAACATCATTGGTCCAAATTTAGGGTTTCAGGAAACTCTGTTCTGAAACTAGGTATATATTACTTCTGTTCAATCGCGGTAACAATAGAATTAGAGGAGAAATTTAGATATCTAACCTCAAGAGCATGCTTGTAACGATGAGATTTACGAAGTTCTTTTGATATATGACGGAGATCGTAGCTTGAAATTCGATGGCCTTCGTTGATCCATTTCTCAATAACATTGGTTGCGCTACGTTTCGGGAGTCTCAGCCGGAAAATTCTGCTCTTTAGATCATCACCGCCACCTGAACCGCAGTCGGATTCATCTTCGGCTGCCGAAATCGGTGATTCGTCGTATAGTATTTCCAATTTGGAAGCCGTTGAAGACGAAGACGAAGAAGACAAGAACCTCAGTGAACCAGTAGTCCTCATTTGTCTGCTGTAATTCCTAGGGTTCAGAAATTCAAAGCTTTAAGATTTGCAGGGAGCCAGAACTCAAAAGTAGGTAAAGTGTATGAGTTAGCTTACCGGACGAGTCCAACAAAGATTGAACGAGCTGCCGCCATGTTTAAACACTGATTCACCAACTGATCTTCGTCCTCTGTTGATAATGCTTACAAGCAGAACAAAATCAACTGTGGAATGAAAAGTGAATCAGCAAAAAAGCAAATAGTTCTAAGTTCTAACACTGATTCGCGTTCAGATTCCTCGATCTTCGCTGAAAACGCCCAAAAACGAAATCAGAGACAAATGATTTAAAAAATAAATGTCAGAAGTGGGATTTGAACCCACGCCCTCTTTCGAAGACCAGAACTTGAGTCTGGCGCCTTAGACCACTCGGCCATCCTGACAGCTTGTTTATGAAGCATTTTTAAAATATATATGTATAATTAGCTTATTTAACTTATTAGTTTATTATAGCTTCGTATTACATTGTTAGTAGCTTATGTTACCATTTTGTAAGTGAATTATATTACCTTGTTTTAGACTCAATAAATGTATTAGGAAGTTGTGAGACAAAGAAACTATATCACTATATATGCAAGGAGGTGTGTATAAGTTGATTTTAAGCATTTATTTGAATATTATGTACACACTAGAGTTGATAGAAATAAAACATGTATCCATGATATTAAATGGTGTATGGAATCTTCATACAAATGAACATTGTGTAGTGCATTATGTATGCAACTTTTGTAGAACGTTTTGTGTTCATCATATAAAGCACACTAAGTTTTTGTTAACCCTTAAAACATAAAACCTTCTTCAACCAGGGGCAGACACAGGATTCCATAGTAGGGGTTGCACGGGAAGATTAGGGGTTGCACAGTAGTAGAAAAAATAAAAAAATTTAAAAATTTCGAAAAATTTTCCACTACGGCCGGAAAATTTAGGGGTTGCCGGTGCTGCCCCGGAACCCCCCTAAATCCGCCACTGTGTTCAATGTTATGGAGCATGCATTGCACAAAGAAATCTAAGTAGTTCTTTCAATCCTTAAAAGTGTGAGACCATGTACAACACGTATAACTTATTCAATAGATGAGTGATAGTCATGTCATATGTATCAGCTTGTGTATTGAAACCTAATTATGCAAAAATACTTTTTTTTTTTGTTTAAAAAAAGCATTAACACCATGAGATGTATAACATTACTAAAGATTTGGATTTATCGATAATTACTCTTGTTTAAAAACTTATTGTATACCTTATCAAGCCTTTTAAAGAACCAAAGCTAGTGGCTAGTATATATTCTTTTGGTTTAACGTAAAGCTTTTTAGTTATCTTTGTATCTAAGGGTATATAAACGAAAGAATTGCTGAATAATACTACTCTCTCTTCATCCAATAATACAATGAGTATATATATACAAGGACTGACAACTAACACCTTAAGACTCGGTATACATACTACCACTATGCTACAGTTACATGACTAAGTCTACACACATGTTGATTTATAATTGGCATGTGTTGATTATCGTTATTACCCCCCTGCAAGCTGATTAGTGGGTTGAACGCGAAGCTTGTGACATAACGAGAGAAATCGATCTTTGTGCAGTGGTTTCGTGAAAATATCCGCTGTTTGATCAGTAGAAGAGATATGTGTAACTTGCAGCTGATTTGCCTCTACTTGTTCTTTGACAAAATGAAAGTCGAGTGAAATATGCTTTGACCGTGTTCTGATGACGGGATTTTTAGTCATAAAAATGGAACCAACATTATCGCATAACATGAGTGGAGCTGTAGTCATTTGAACCTGTAATTCAGACATCAAGTGTTTAAGCCAAAGTAGTTCAGCTGCAGTATATGAAATCGCCCTATATTCAGCTTCAGTACTCGATCTAGCAGCAACTTTTTGCTTTCGTGAGGTCCAGCTTATGAGATTGTTGCCATGGTAGATGGCAAATCCATATTGAGAACGACTGTCATCTGAGTCGGACACCCAACTGGCATCAGAGAAGGCGTGAAGAGATGATTTGTTTGTTGGCTGGAAATGTAGACCATGTGAAATTGTGCCCTTAAGATATCTGAGGATGCGTTTGACGGCCTGCCAGTGTTGAATTGTGGGTGCGTGCATATATTGACATACACGATTGACAGCAAAAGCGATGTCGGGTCGTGTTATTGTGGCGTATTGGAGAGAGCCGACCACCTGTCGGTACAGTTTTGGTTCCGAGAATGGTTCGCCATGAAGAATCAGTCGAGAGTTAGCATCAGCAGGTGTAGTTAGAGGTGTTGCATCTGTCATCTTCGTCTTACGAAGGATGTCTTCGATATAACCCGATTGATTAAGGGTAAGTTTGGTGTTGTCCCGAGTTATGTGGATACCCAAAAAATATGTGAGAGATCCCATATCTTTAAGTGCAAAGGTCTTGTGAAGTGTGTTGATGAAATGTTGAATTAGGGATGCATCCGAACCTGTAATAATGAGATCATCGACATACACAAGGATGTAGATGACCGCAGATGAAGAGTGGTGAACGAATAAAGATGTGTCTGAGTGACATGCCCGAAATCCATTGGTGGTGAGATACCGCTTCAATTTGGTGAACCAAGCCCTTGGTGCCTGTTTCAAGCCATATATGGCTTTATTAAGACGACAAACATAATTAGGGTGGTTGCCATCTTCAAAACCTCGTGGCTGCTGCATGTAAACTTGTTCGTTAAGATCTCCGTTAAGGAATGCGTTATTAATATCTAATTGTCTCAGACACCAATTCTTCGAGATGGCAATGGACAATACGAGTCGGATTGTTGTGGGTTTGATGACAGGGCTGAATGTATCAAAGTAATCAAGTCCCGCTTCTTGACTGAAACCCTGTGCTACCAAACGCGCCTTGTAACGATCTAGTGAGCCATCTGCATGTCTTTTTAACCTGTATAGCCACTTACACCCGACGACATTAACGTTAGTAGGACAAGGTACTAATGACCAAGTTTTATTTCTCAACAAGGCATCAAATTCAGTTTGCATAGCTTGTTGCCAGGAAGGAGATTTCATTGCTTGGTTGTAGGTTCTCGGTTCAGGAATGGGTGAAATGGTCATCGTGGAGAGGATTTTGGGTTTTAGAGAGTTGGTTTGAGCTCGAGTGACCATAGGATGACTTTTGTTATTTGCTGGACGATAGTGCGATTGAATGTTGGAGGATGTACGAGATCGAGAACTAGCTGTGGATTGACAATACCTCGGAGATGTGGGTTACGATGAAGGTGTAAGGGAAGTAGGGTCAGGTATAGGTATAGACGAAGGAGTATTGGATCGGGTGGAAGGTCCGGAAGATGGGCTGTTGGGAATAGTGAAGTGGTGTGTTTGGGCCAGAATATTGGGGTCAACATTCGTGGAGGGTGAGGAGACAGAGGAAGTATCACCCGTTGAGAGGTGTAGTGAGGTTGAATACGGAAAGTAATCTTCATTGAAAATTACATGTCTAGCAATATAAATTTTGCTAGAGGGTGAGTGATAGCACAAGTATCCTTTGTGAGTAGGACTATAACCTATGAACACACAAGGGAGAGACCGAAAGTCGACTTTGTGACGGTTGTATGGTCGCAAGAACGGGTAACAAAGACAACCAAATGTCTTGAGAGCACTATAGTTCGGATTTTTGGAATATAGTTTTTGATATGGCGATGAGAAATCAAGGGCCGGCGTTATGGTGCGATTGTGCAAAAAAGTGGCGGTTTTAAATGCATGCTCCCAAAAATGATTTTGGTAAGGTGGATTGGGCAAGAAGAGTTAGACCCTTTTCGACAATAATTCGATGTCGCCGTTCAACGGCTCCGTTTTGTTCGTGTGTGTGTGGACACGTGAGGCGGTGAAGGATTCCATGATTTGTCAAGTATTTAGTGACGTTTCGGAATTCCCCACCCCAGTCGGTTTGAAGTGTTTTGATATTGCAATTGAATTGAGTGCGAATCATAACATGAAATTGAGAGAAAATGTTAAACACTTTATATTTGTGTGACATAAAGTATATCCAAACAAATTTGGTGCAATCATCCACAAAAATAACAAAATAACGATTGCCATTAATAGAAAAATAAGGGGACGGTCCCCAAACATCCGAGTAAACTAAATCAAAGGGGTTGGGAGAAGAAACATGCGTATGTGTGAAGGGTAATTTGTGACTTTTCCCCATGTGACATGGTTCACAGGTTGTTGGAAATTTAGTTGAGGAAGTCGGAAGCTTGTAACTGGAAATTAAGCGCCGAAGAATGGCGGAATGCGGGTGAGCTAGACGACGATGCCAACCATGGATAGTGGTTCTGACACCGGAAAGCGCCATTGAGCATCGTTCTTTATTGGGGGATGAAGGGAGACGGTAGAGACCACGATCAACGTCCCCGTTGAGGAGGGTTTTGCCCTGCACAGACTTAACATGACAGTGAGAATTCCAAAATTCCATGAATACAGGGTTGTCAGATGTTAATTTGGACACACTTATAAGATTTTTTGTGATTTTGGGGACGACAAGGACAGATGGCATACGAAGGCCATGTAAAGAAGTTGAGCCTATGTGAGAAATAGACAGGTTATTACCATTGCCTACTTGCAGTTTGTCTGGGCCATGGTACTCATCAGTAGCATTGAGCTTGTTGAAATCATTGGTGACATGATCTGTGGCACCTGTGTGAAAGTACCAGGCAGGATCAACAACGGTGGAGGGGCTGTGATGACTGGCATAGTGAGCCTGGCGCTGACCAGCTCTTGGATTTGGCCTTCGTGACGGATAATCTGTTTGATTGTCCCGCTGCCAACAATCTACTGCTTCATGCCCTAATTTGTTACAGATTTGACAAAGAGGGCGTTGCTTCCTGCGATTGTCACTGGATCGATTGTTAGATTGAGGAGAATTGGAGGAACCATTACCGAAATTATATCGTGGAGAAGAACGATTGGCAGTGAGAGCAAGTGTATTTGTGGGCAAGCTTGGAGATTGATTGAGTGCGGCCTGTCTATTGAGTTCTTGCTCCAGACGAGATTCCTCAAGGAGTAGCATGCCAGTAACATCGTCGAGTGAATCGTTGGTGTCTCGCATCATGTAGGCCGTCACAAACGGGCCGTAAGAGGAGTCCAAGCCCGCAAGGATGTGACCGATTAGGTCTTCAGTAGAAATTGGGTTGAGCGTTTCAGCTAGGGAATTAGCAATCGCTCGTTTTTTGTCGATGTAATCAAGCATTGAAGAGGAACCCTTGGTCATCGATTGGAGTTCTGCTCTCATTTGCATCCGTCGTGCCTTGCTTTGAGCCTGAAAAGTTTTGTCAATTTTTGACCAAGCTTCATGAGAGGTCTTGGTAGTGGCGATAATGGCAAGAGCAGTTTCGGTGACTGTGGATTTGAGCCAGAGAAGGACAAAGCTGTCCCTTTTCGCCCACAATTGAAACTCCGGATTTGGGTGATGGGTAATTTTGCCATCATCTGCAGTGACGCCAATAGTTGCCTCCGGTGGATTATTGGATAACACGAATTCAGCAAGATCAAAGGTGGCTAGGGCTGAGAGAATGGTGGATCGCCAGAGGGGGTAGTTGTTGCGGTCCAACTTGATGGAGATGGAGGGGATTTGGAAGTTGAGTGCGCCGGTGGTGGAGGCGAGACCTAAAAGCTGATTGTTATGAGCCATTGGAAAGGATCGGATATTATTGGTGTAGCTCTGATACCATATAAACGAAAGAATTGCTGAATAATACTACTCTCTCTTCATCCAATAATACAATGAGTATATATATACAAGGACTGACAACTAACACCTTAAGACTCGGTATACATACTACCACTATGCTACAGTTACATGACTAAGTCTACACACATGTTGATTTATAATTGACATGTGTTGATTATCGTTATTAGGGTACAACCAATCAACCATCACACGATTCTGTTATAACTGTTAACAAGAATATGTCATGTAGTTAAGCATTATCTTATTTTTTGTTGTATTATGTTTTCTTAAAAATGTCAAGTTAAGGGTAAGGTTTTCTTATTTTGATGCCTTTTTATATTATTGACCTTGTTATGTATAGTTGGAAATCGGGTGTTACTGTTAGGAGGTAATATGAGCTAAGGTGAGCATAATGTCGGTACCCGACTAAATTGCTAGGAATCGGCGAATCTTGAAAGGATGAAGTGCTCACAAAAGGTATTTTTTTTTCTTTGGAACCGGTTCTAGAAACCTATGGAACTGAGAATTGAGTCGGATTTGCAGTTTTGTTAATTTTTTCAAATTTAAAAGAAAAAAAGGTAATTACAAGAATAATGACTATTAGTGACGACAGGCGTCGCCGCTAAAGGTCCCGATTGTCGCCGCTAATACCGTTAGCGGCGACAGGTCGCCGCTAAAGGGTCGCCGCTGTTGGTCGTCGCTAATACCCAATTTGTCGCTGCTAATGTTTACCGTCGCTGCTAATACCATGTCGCCACTAATACTTTCTGTCGCCACTAAAAGTGTCGCCGCTAATTGTAGTTTTCTCTTTTTTTTAGTTTTTTTTAAACATTCTTTCCATATACAAAACAAACCTTATAAAATTATAAAACTATTATAAATTATAAAAACTTTATAAAAACATATAACCAAAAACACATCCATACATACACAATACACATACAAAAACATATACATACATATACAAAAACACATATACATACATAATACACATATAAAAACACTCATATATATATATATATATACTAATACACAAATACATGCATATACAAAAAACACATTCTACATATAAATGAGTTCATAGAAGAGAGAAGATGGAAGGAGCTGAAGGGGGAAGAAGGGATTGATGGAGGAAGGAGTTGAAGGAGGAGGAAGGAGCTGAAGGGGGTTATATCTGCGAAGGGCATTAGCGGCGACGCCTTTTAGCGGCGACACGTTGAGTATTAGCGGCGACATATAGAGTATTAGCGGCGACACCTTTAGGGGGAATTTTGATGGTCAAAATTTTTGAGTATTATCGGCGACATCTTTGGGGGGAAACTTTGGCGGTCAAAATTTTTGAGTATTAGCGGCGACACTGTCGCCGCTATTGGTATGTACATTATCGATTTTCAGTCGTTGGATTCGGGACAAAATCAACAGCTAAGGTTTCACCTCATATTTCGATGCGGATCGGGGTCGATGAGCATTAGCGACGACACTTTTAGCGGCAACAGCCACCTTTAGCGGCGACACATAACGCGAAAATTATGTGTCGCCGCTAATGCCCATTATTATTGATTATCTGTAAGTCGGACTCATCTGATAGGTAAATTGTGGCTAACAACAAAATTTTGAATTTTGAATGTGACAATGTTTAAACTCTAAATTTCAATTATAAAATTATGTGCCTCAGACGTTAGGTACTTAGGTTCCATCTTGTGCCTTGGTTTTCTAAAATGTAGTTGTTAGAAAATTTAAAACTATTAACCAACCATTAGTCCATCAAAAAGTATGAACCGAAAACATTCCGCCATTATAAATGATAAACACTAATCATATTAAAGGACAAAAACCAAGTAACTAACCAAAAAATTTGATTGCTATAAACAATATCTAATCGTCCAATCCAGAAAACTGATACATCCAAGACATGAAAAGCCAAGATTCATGCAATTTATAAAATTAATTAATTGCTAATTAGTTGCGCTACAGTTAAACATTTATTTTTGAACAACATATATATTATTAAAAAACTAGCAAGAAGTTAGAAAAGACTCGTTACAAAAGAATAAACACGAAAACATGATTGTGAAGCCAGACACTCCAACCAATCTTAGCTTTAAAGAGTTAACCAATGTTGGATAAACCCAATAATTCAATACACGACAAGACACAATACGATACTACAAAACACGGCACATGTTTTTTGTATATGGGTTTTGAAAATTCATGTATTGTGTTTATTTTTATTGACGCACATTTCAAATTCGTATTTCTTGTCTTATACGCACCATACACGAATTTACCAATTTAAACATGTATAAAATCTGATAAAAATCATGTGACATGCAACACTAATCAGACATTGATAATATACAAATTAATATCTTTTGACATGTTAGTTTTTGCTTCATATACAATAGTTTAAGATAAATTCTTTTGTAATTGCGCTAAATTCGTGTAATATGGTTAAAAACATGTTGTGTTTGTGTCATGCCAAATGTCTTATACAGATTAATTTTGTGGACGAGTTCGTGTTTGATATACATACACGACATGTAAGTTTGTGTCCTACCCGTGATATGATACGATGACACGAATTGCTAAGTCTAACGACTGTTATATAAGTCCACCCTGATTAGGAAGAGCATACATTATGTTGTCATAAATGTCAAAACAACTCAACAATGCTAA